GAGGGTGTCAGATCTTGGAGTTGCAGACAGATGCCACGTGGGCGCTGGGAATTGAACCCGTGTTCTCTGGAAGAGCAGTCGGTGCTCTTAACCGCTGAGCCATCTCTCCAGCCACTGACAAAGGACTGGTTTTTAAAGAATTGTGATTAAACATTCCATAAATAAAAAGGGGGAACAATCTAATGGTTCATACGGTGGTGGATGGTGATTGTTCAGAGGGTGAGTTACTCAGGTGTGCAAACTCCATTTCTAGTTCAAGGTCACCTTAGCATTCTCGCCTTCACACTGGCAGCTTCTCGGTTGCTGTTAATCAGCAAGCATCATCCTCAAAGTCACCTCAAAGGCTAAGAATTAAGCCAGATGTTTTTGTAAGACTAGATTAATAGGAGGAAGTATTCTCGTTTTTGATTCTTGTGGGGCGGGAGAGATGGCTCAGTGGATAGGAACACTAGCTGCTTCTGCAGAGGACTCAGGTTTGGTTCCCAGAACACACATGGTAGCTCACAATTGTCTGTAACTCTAGTTTCAGGGGATCCGATACCTCTATTCTATTCTCCATGGGCACCAGCCATGGGTACAGTATTGTGGTGTGGTACTCAGATATGTGAGGACATTCTTAAAGCCTGAATTAGTCCGGGAAAATTGCAATGCCTCATGACCCCCATCTCCCTGATGAAAACTGTAGAGAGGAAGTGATCAGCTGCACATTTATGGCTATATTTTGATTTTCAGGGCAGCCATATTAGATCATTTCCTGGCTGAAAAGGAGCCAGAAAGATTCGGGCACTCAGAATTAGGTGTTCTAGGGGATTCTGCATGTAGATGTCTTGGTTCTCGATAGAGAATTTGGGTCAATTTGCTGCCAGCCTCTTAACCCAGCCTTTGTGCTTTTTATAATAAAACAAGTGAAGAATTTCAGCAAACTTACAGGACTCCTGCAGTTCATATCTTCAGCTTTCCCTGAGGCCACATGCACTGTGATTGTAGGGTATCTCTGATGGCATTCACATGCAAAGACCCAATAAAGAACACAGCTAAAGCTGCATCTGACAGAAATGAATCTAGGGCATACTTTGGGGGAGTGGCTTTCTATCCAGTGATCCATTCTCTCAGCAAATTCTTACTGTGTAACCCCTAACTGCCCATCATTGTTGTTGTTCAGGGTGTACTCCAGTAAGTGAAACACAAGCAAATACCCTTTCCTTGTAGACTTGTGTTATAGTATTATAGTTTACTCTTAAACACACACACACACACACACACACACACACACACACACCATGATTTAAGCAATGGCTATAAGCCAAACACTGCACCATGCCTGACAGCTGCAAACAAAAATAAGACAATGTATCTACTTCCCCAAACAGAAATGATACAGCTCCGAGAATAAAGGCTCTTGCCTTGCAATCCTGAATACCTGAGTTCAGACTTCAGAACTTCCGGTAGAAGCAGGAACATACAAGGAAAGGAAAAGACCCAAATGAACAGAATCAGAAATGAACAAGGACACATTATAACACACATCAGAGAAATTCAGGATATTATAAGGGAGTGCTTTAAAAACGTGTACTCCATTACAATGGAAAAGAAGATGGATAAATTTCTTGATTTATCCAAACTACCAAAGTTAAACCAAGAAGAGTCTAACAACATAAAAAGACCCATGACCCTTGACAGAGGAGGAGATAGGAAAGACAGAGCCAACTGCACACAGTTGTCTTCTGATTCCCACGTGTGTCCCATGGTATGTGTGATGCCCCCCGAGTCATATACACAAACAACAATAATTAATAATTAAAAAATTTAGAACGATTTCTGATCCTAGAACAACAGATTTTTATTTTAGAAATTCCATCCCAAAGGCCATCATAGAGGCTACATTACATAGGTATTAGCAATACAAATGGAAGAAAACATGCATACAGACAATAACTTGGTAAAACCCAGTGCAGATCCTGGGAGACAAGAAGACAGATGGGAAAAGCTGTTTCCAAGAGTGAGTAGCCTCCCAAAGGCCACACACTTGCCTTAATGCCCTACAGAGTCCGACTTCAGATCCTTGGTAATTTTTAAGCAAGCAGCTAAGGCTTTTGCTTTACACCCAGCTCTGCAAATTATGCAGCAAGCTCCGAGAAAGGAATTCCCCGGCAGCTGAACATCAAGCTGTCAGTGCCGGGAGGTAGAAGGAAGCTGACCTGGGAAGTTATTGATTGTGGCAGCTCCAAGGTGTGTGTAGCTGCGGGGCCCTTGGGGTTTGCTCAGGTTTCTCAGCAGCGGTGAGGCTTTGAGTGCCCCAATGTTCAAGTCAGTGGCTGTTCCTGTTTCTCAGCAGCAGTGAGGTTTTTTGAGTGCCCCTATGTTCAAGTCAGTGGCTGTTCCGCTCAGTGGAAACACAGAGAATAAGAAAAGTGTTTCTAATCTCTCTTCTAAAAGCTCCCCGAGTAGCCTTGAATGAGTTAAGCCTCTGCAGCTCCCTCATTCATGAAATAAGGTGATAATCCTGGACCCACACAGCTCCTGGAATTGTAGCAATTATTAGGCTGACAAGAGAAGGAAGCACTTTAAATTCCCCGCAAAGGAAAGCATTCCACTAAATAGAAAGACTAAAAATAATTCTATTGACAATAGTCCTCAGGCAGTGTCCTTAACTCGGGTCCTCCGGAGGCAGCTATGGCTTCCTACTACCCAGGACCTGTCAATCAAAGTCGCTGGCATTTATCTGAGATACAAATAGACAAGCATTTGATGGGTAGGTATTTCTATGTGTTAAGACGCCACAACTTCTTTTTGTTTGCTTACACCGTCTCAGAGTTCATTTTCTGTATATATTCATGCATTTATTTAAATGTGTCTTTTTTTTTTTAATTTTGAGACAGGGTTTCTCTGTGTAACCCTGACCAGCTTGGAACTCACTCTGTAGACCAGGCTGGCCTCGAACTCAGAGATCCACCTGCCTCTATCTCCCGAGGGCTGAGAATAAAGGCGTGCACCACCACTGCCTGGTTTATTAAATGTGTCTTCAACATACTTTATTATGTACTGACTGGATTCTATGGTAGGTGCTAGAAAAGGGGAGGTATAGCGATCCGTTTCCTGAATGACTTCACAGTGTGTACATTGGAAACGGGCAGAAATAAATCAGTCACAAGTGATGGTCTAGTTTAAATGTTGGGGCTGAAGAGATGGCTCAGTGGTTAAGAGCATTGCCTGCTCTTCCAAAGGTCCTGAGTTCAATTCCCAGCAACCACATGGTGGCTCACAACCATCTGGAATGAGGTCTGGTGACCTCTTCTGGCCTGCAGATATACACACAGACAGAATATTGTATGCATAATAAATAAATAAATAAAATATTTAAAAAAAGATTCTTTGATCCCACAAGAGAAGGAGATTTTTAGTTCACTCGCAGTCAGCCTGGAAACGGAAAATGACCCTGTCTTTAAATATATAAATAAATAGATAAAACTAAACAATAATAAAAAGTAGTCTCAGATGGTTGTAAATAAAGCTCCCGTGGGAATAGGAAAGCACGGTTTATAGGAAGCAGGGAAAGCAGGCGCATCTCTGAAGTTACATCTGCTTGCGAGATGTTCCGTTTGTCACATTAGGAAACCATACACAAAGGGCTGTGAGATGACTCAGGGAATAAAGGCATTTGCTGCCAAGCCTGGCAGCCTGAGTTCAAGCCCCGGAACTCCCTGGTAGAAGATGAGAAAGGAGTCTCAGTTCCTCTGACCTCCACACGAGGGCCATAACACATGCATGTGTGCACGTACACACACACACACATAAATAGAAACATACATACACACAGACGAGACATGCAGATACATACAGACACACAAACTAGATGTATAGATAGATATGTAGAGATATATAGATAGATGATAGAGAGAGAGATAGATGATAGATAGATAGATAGATAGATAGATAGATAGATAGATAGATAGACTTTACAAAAAAAAAAAAAAAAAGAAACCCTACTACCAGCTCTCCTCTACTTCTGTGTATTACCTTAACAGACCAATCTTCTTCAGCCTCCATCATGGTAGCCCCTGAACTATATGCTAAAATAAACCTCTCTTTCTTTAAGCAAAGTATAAAAGTAATAAGTCAATGTGATATGGAGTTTAAAGATATGGTATGGAACCAGAGTTTGAAAATAACCTAACACTGATGACGCCATGTCCGTGAGTGTGAACGCATTCGTGTGTGTGTGTGTGTGTGTGTGTGTGTGTGTGTGTGTGTGTGCTTTAGAGAACTGCCTTTGGGAGGTGGCTTGTTTCTTCTACCATATGGGCTCCAGGGATCGAACTCAGGTCACTTGGGCTTGGCAGCAAGCCCTCACCCACTAAGCCGTCATGCTGACCCTCATCATTTACTTTTAAAACCACCATATTGTTTTTGTTTTCTAAAAGGTCATATGGGTTCTCTGTTTATTTCTTCCAAGTTGCTATGTAACCTTGGCAACTTGCCCAAGGAAAAATGACTAGAGTTCTCTAAGTCTTCTGAGCCTCAATGTCTTCTGAGAATGAAGTTGTTGGACTGTGGTACACCGACATTTGCTTTAAGAAAACATTTCATCAGGACGTACACTTGTAAAACTGCACAAGGCCCTTGGTTTGATCTTTAGTTATGTGCACGCAAACATACAAACATACACACACAGACATACACATACATAGACACATCTATACATACAGAGACATACGTAGATACACAGAGACATACACACATACATACACATACACAGACATACACTTGTATATACACCAATGCATACACACATATACAGACACACACGCACACACAAATACACACATATATAGAGGCCATGCAGACACACACTCACATACAAATATATATACATAGACACATGTATACCCACATATACAGACACATGCAGACACATACATACCACACACGTAATAGTGATACTAATACTACAATCATGACCTACAGTGTTTCATATTCACATTTTATGATTTTTTTTTCAGAATTACCAGTGATGGAGATCAATGTAACAGTTCACTTATACAGAGGAGTTGATTCCAGAAACTCATAGCGACTCCTGCGGACTGATCGTTTTTTTGGTAAGCACCTCTCACAGACCCCCCTCAGGGGAAGCTGAGAAGGCTGTGGGGGTGGATTTGAATCTCATTCTCAGTTTACAGATAGGGATTATGTGTAAAACGACCCTGGGCTCGTTGTTAACCTTCCTGAGCCTTAAATTAGCCACAGGGCAGAGTCACAGCCCCGCAGATCTGGAATCCAAAGTCATCTCAAGCACGCACACATATTTAGAACACTAGACATCTTCATTTCATTGAGAACTGACAAACGCCATGCCGGGCTTGTCTGGATATCCAGAACTGTCTAAACAGGGTGACTCTTCTCCCCTGAGTTTGCCAGTGTTCTGGGTTCAGGACACCTCTGAACTCCTTTCTCCGGGCCTGTGACTTGGCTAGGACTCTTTTCTACCTACACTAAGGATTCCCTTGGTAGCCACGTTGACTCATGATTGTGTGGCAGAGGCTACGCCACAACTAGAAACAGTTTGACAAGCCAGATCCTGACTGGCCTCTTCTTTCAGTTTTGCTAATCCCTGGCCTTGAAATAAGGTACCTGTTGGTACTGGCGTCACGTGCCAGATAGCCAGTGAGTTCCGTTGCTAATGGGTTTGGAGCCTGGGCTGTGGTTCGTTTGTCTCTGACTTGCTAGCTCCACCTATAACGCCTCCTGTCTTCCTTCCCACTCCTGTTCCCTTCCTCCTCTTGTCACACACTCTAAGTGTCCACAGATGTCAAGTGCAGGGAAAGACAGGTGGCATTAACGTTCTAGTGCTGCCTCGGGGATACTTCCTGAAGAAGATAGGGCCCCTCGCTGGGTCGCTGAGCAGGCTGCCCCTCTGGATTTATCACAGCTCAGGGCCTATTCTCGATTCAGATAGCTTGACAGCTCTCATGCTGGCGCGATGCCACCCAGGGTGCCAGTCCGCGGGCCATCTAGCCATATCAAGCGCGGCTGTTCAGGGCAGGAATCCTAGCCAGGAATTTTAACCTGCTGTCTGTGAGAGGGTTGGCGCATTTTGGCTGGAGAGGACTTCCAAAAATAAACACTAGATACTGTGGCCATTTGTTTGGACTCCGTAGAAGTGTTATTAGTCATCGGGGGTAAGAAAAGGACGGTGGAGACACCAGGCGGAAATGAAGTCTAAATAATCATTCTGACAGACAGAGGGGGAGCCGAGCCCACTCTTCCCACAACAACTGGAGGGAATTTAGGAAATGCCCAAAACAACGCTTGGTCTTACCCGATTGTTTTTATTTCTCCAGCAATTGAAATAAAATCGCAGACAAAACTAAGATAAATACTCAGAAAGTAAACAACATGGGGATCCAAGGAGGGAGCAAATACCTTCTTAGAATTCAGTTGTAAGAGACTCAAACTAAAGGCGTCTGTTTCCATTTTAGAATCTATTTCCTCTATATGATATTTGTGTGTGTGTATGTGTGCATATGTCTATGAGAGAGATACAGAGAGATAGAGACAGAGACACACAGAGAAAGACAGAGAGAGACAGAGACTGAACCTACGGCCTCTTGCATGCTTTTTATTTTGAGATAAGTTGCCTTGGCTGGTCTTAAATTTATAATCCTCCTGCCTCAGCCTACTGAGTAGCTGGGATGTACAGGCTGATGCTCCCAAACCAGCTCGCTCATAGCCCCTATTAGAGGATTCAGGGTACTGAACCTTCAAGTTCAAGGCTGATGCAGCTTTTTTGGACTACTGAGGTCACTGAGTACGTGAGTACTAGCACGTGTTTTTTTGTGTAAAAACATCGGGTTTTGATTCAAACAAATTAGAGTTAACCCCTGCTTTCCCACCGAAAACACTGTTTTCCCGCTGTTCCCGTTTGTGTATATAGTATAGGAATATAGGTGGAAGGTTCACAATAATATAACTTCCCAAGAATACCATGAAGAATAAATAAGAAATTTGGCAAAGATGTCAAGCTTAAAGGCACATGGCTATAACCCCAGCTACTCTGGAGGCAGAGGCAGAAGGATCACTGGGTCAAAGCCTGTGAGAACTACAAGGTAAGTTCAAGGTTACAGTGAAAAACTTAGTGAGACTTCATCTCAAAACAAAACATCTTTTTTTAAGGATGGAGGATATACTTCAGTGGTTGGGTGCTTGCCTTCTAAGCATCGTGAGGGCCTCCTTTCATCCCTGAGTGAGGAGGGCAGGGGCTGGTAGGAAGGCAGGAGGAAAGGAAAGAAGAGAGAAGGCAAAAGGGAAAAAACCAATCGGGCAGAAGTCTCCTTAGCATTAGTAAGTTCTCAGAAAATACTATTACCAAGTTGATCCACTATATTGGTTGTTGTGGGATATTTGTACACTGCATGAGGGTGTATTTGTGATTGGTTTAATAAGAAGTAAAATGGCCAAGAGCTAGGTCGGAAGTCTGGGTGGGACTTCCTGGCAGAGAGGGAGGAAGTAGGAAAAGGAATCTAGGAGAATGAGCAGAATATAGATTAATAGAGATGGGTAATTTAAGTTATGAAAGTGAGTTAAAACCAAGCCTAAGCTAAGGCCAAGCTTTCATAATTAATAAGTCTCTTTGTCGTTATTTGTGAGCTGGTGACCTGGTGACCCAAAGAAAAATCCGACTACATTTGAAATTGATGACTCACATAGACTAGAGATTTGTTTGCCTAGCCTAAATGTGTCTTTGACTTTTTATACCTGTTTTCCCCTGGACTCCAAGTGGTGTGATGAACTTAATTCCTATTAGTTTGTAGGAGGCTCTTGTTCCCCTTTAGAACTTTTGCAATCCTGGCCATGCTAAAATTATGAGCAAAAAGAGAGGGATATATAGTCAGATAAGCAATACTGACAATACCTAGCCACAAAAGTGGGGTTGCCTTTATCATTTTACTGCTGTTTGTGGCAGGTTATGCGTCTTCTGACTGCGCCGTGCTGAAGGTGCTGTGTGTCCGTGTGTCTGTGCACATTTCTTCCCAGTCATTGTCCGAGAAACCCCTTTCAGTGGCTTCACAACAGTCAAGGGACTTGGAAGTGGGTGGCCCTCTAGTGGTCACTGAAAGTCATTACCCTCAGGATGCTGCCTTTCTCCGGCAGCTTCATCCCAAAGAGGCAGTTATTAAACACTTATCAGTATGTGACTGTCCCAGGATAGTTTGAATACCCAAGGTGACTTTTGCAGACAGTAACCATAGACATCAACGGATAGTTTGAAATAAGAGATTTACAAACATTCAGTCAGCCGAGATGTACTCACCCACTACATCTTAGCATCAACTCTGCTTCGTTTGTTTATTGTACCTGCATCCTTATGTAGTTGATTGGCTTTCTTCTCTCAGCCCAACTTAAAATTGTTGTTGATAAGGGTTTCTCTATGTACCTCAGACAGGTCTTCGATTCAAGAACCTCTGACCTCAATTTCTTGAGTGCTGGGATTACAGGCATGCACTAATGTGCCCAGCTCTCTAATTCTTAAAGGACTATTCTTTTCATAGTCCAGACTGTAGCACGATTAATACAAACTCAGAGTCAGATAGTGGGGTTCAACCTGAAGGCCAGAAAAACAAAAGAGCCAGTCATTGGCTCTTATCCTGACCTCATTCTGCAATGGCGATCCTGCCTCCAGGAATCTCACAATGAGACTGTGCCTGAGAACTGTCTCCTCCCATTTTATATTCCTCTCTAGAGCTGGGATTAAAGGCATGCACCAGTGGGATTAAAGGCATGCACCCCTACTGCCTGGCCTCTATGGCAACTAGTGTGGCTACTGGGATTAAATGTGTGTGTCACAACTGCCTGGTCTGTTAGACTGACAAGTGGGGCTGTTTTACTCTCTGATCTTCAGATAAGCTTTATTTGTTAAAATACAAATGAAATATCACCACACCAGACCAACTTCTGTCTTGAATGTATTAAGGGTTTAGTGACTATTTGTTGACAGAATGGAGCACACTCTCTGCATGGTTTTATTCCTATTAATCAACAGTCACCAGAAGTGGGTTTGTTAAGAGACTAAATTACAACAAATTTAGCATAAACGTCTTGTCTGGGTTTCATCAGCGACTCCAGACTTGGGCAGCCCTCAGAATCAGGATAGGTTCAGAGAACTCTGGGCCTGAAAAGAACGCTGAATACATTTCCAGATAAAAGCAGGACTGGGGCACATAAAGTAGAGAATTATGAAGGCCTCTGACTGGTTGCCACTCCTTGTTTGAAGGCAACTTGAGCAACGGCTGCCTCCAACTTCATGAAACAGAACTTCTGTGTTGGGCTCAGGTACAGCTGCTTGGTTTTTGCCACCTTGTGCCGTTTTAACTTTTTCCTTGGTTAAAATGGTGTATGTGCCTACTTCTACATACATCTCTGTCTTTCACTTTTCTTTTCTGTCAAATATAAAGCCTCTGAAATAAAACCCATTTCCTGGATCTGGAGAGATGGTTCAGCAGTTAAGAGCACTTGCTGCTCTTCAAGAGGACCCAGGTTGGTGCCAAGCGCCCACAAAGGGCAGCTTACAACCACATGTAACTCCTTCTCCAGGGCTTCCAACACTCTCTTCTGGCTTTTGTGACATTTGTACACACATAATCACACACATGTACACAATTAAAAACAAATATTTTAATCTCTGCTGCTTTTCCCTGCTCTTACTCTGTATTTTGATAGTTTAATTCACAAGCTCCCTAAAACTGACCCTTAGGGAGCAGAGAAAAAAACAATTCCTTCCTGACTTTAATATACTGTGAGATGTGGGTGTTCTAAGCCAGAGTTTGAGACATTTTCAACACATACAAACATTTATTTGAGAACATAAATTGAAATGAGATGGTTATTGAAGAATCACAAAGTAGGCAGAGGAAGAGATCAAGACAAATGCTCTTTGGAAGAATTTATTTCTTTAATTTTCTGTAAGTAAGACCCTTGTGCGCTAATTTAATGATCTGATAAATATGGAACTCCTTTTCTTCTCAACAACTCCCCAGGGCCAAAAGAAATACATGAAACTAAACAAATTCTGGGCGTTGTTCCCACCAGACTCTCCTGTCTG